CCTGATAAGCGGTCTTTATGAGATTTTAAACAAGGTTCACCCCAATTTTAACATCTCTACTTCTGCAAATGACGGGTTACTCTTCCTCTTCATTGTAATTCCCAACAAGTCCTGTCGTCTGCTTTTCAGGAGTTAAAGGTTATTGAGGTGCTTTGGTAAAAAAGCCGAAAATTACTGTAAAAATTAAAGTGATTGAAGGTAACTCGGTACAAAACAGGACTCGATGACGAGAAAATGTATAGATTGATCGGTTTTGATGTTATTGAAACTGTTAAAATTGTCTGAACTAATTTCAGTATTCCAACAAACTTATTCAAACAATAAATCTTCAGGAATATACTTCTTAAACAAACAGAATTAATCTCTCTTTGCTATAAAAAAAATCCAACAGTAATACGGATAATCGATAAAAGTCGGTTTAAAAATCAGAAGAGTTTTTTTTTTTTTAAATATCTTATTCTGCTGTTTTTTGAAACTAAATGTAAAAGCAACAGATTTCATTTTATTTACGCAACAAAATTGAAACAAAAAGAATCAAAGGGAAAATGAGAAACCGAGACGAGTAAATGGTAATGCTAGTTTGTCCTTACTATATGAAATCTTCGCTCCAGACTTTATTATGCGAAAGCTCTAAAATATGTAGAACTAGACGAGAAGAGATACTTTTGATAATAGAAATCATGAACTGGCGGACTGTTTCTTCCTCCGGATTTTTGCAGTCAAATAATGCGTTCATTTCTAAAGATTTACGACAGGTTCTAAATGGTGATAATTAGATGATTTTGGCGATATTACCAAAGATAACATCGAATAAACGAAATGTTTTAAGAAAATGTCGCATCTCGTGGCCATTATCTCCAGAGTAGGAAAAAAAATATTTAATAGACGCCGAGAAAAAATGGCGAGCTTTGGCAAGATTACCCGCTAAATTAATACTCTTAGCTAGAAATTTCCACTGAACTGGGTACGGTGTCACGTGACAAACGCTCGTTAGCCGAAAAATGATGCAAGGAGCGGAGTTTATGGGAATTAAATTGAACTGAAAAGTATCTTCTCCCTAAAATGTGGCTTTATTGTCCATTTGTAAGTCAATCGGAAGCTTTTGTTTAGAAAAGAAGCAGTAATTGATACATCATAAAAAGAAATGCGACTTGTAATGTACGTTTGTCGTTACAACTAATGATGTGAAATGACAACAGAGAATTTTAATGAACTCAGTGTGTACATATTATGCATTTGTAATAATGAACGACCGGTTTTCCTTCGAACAAACACACTATTAAATTGTATGTTATCAATCAATCAATCTGGGTTTTATATTTTGTTACAGTTTAGCTTACAATGCATCTATCATTGTGAAATTACATTACACGTTTCTAAGAAACATTTCTCCATGAAGTACTTTTCTTTTGCCTAAAAAAGCTTTCTTATTCAAGCGGAAAGATCAAATGCTGTCTCTAATCACTCTTTGTATAATAATTGAAAAAAAATAAGAAATAAAATTTAATTTTTTAATTAATTTGCTTGCAAAAGCACCTAAATCCTTATTTGTAATTAATCCCTTCATTTCACACTCTTTTTAAGGATAATATATACATTTTGATGAAATCTATTAAGCATGAAAATATTATCTAACGTTCATTTTCGCACATTTCTTTGAAAAAATTGAGGTAAGACGGAATCTGATGTTCGTCTCCATTGTTGCCGATAAAGCTGACAGTTAGGGGTGACACTAACACACGCAATCTGCCTGGCCATCCCTCAACGGACACTCGCAGGCTACCAAACATAAATTCTTCCTGTCGTTGTTTATTTTTTAGAAAATAACAATTTATCAACACTCGTAAACATGACATGTTGTATACGTTTTATGGACCAACCAATGATATTATGTAGCCATAAAATCACAAAAAGCATTTGCCGATGGGGGTTGACACCGGACAGTCGGGAATTTGGGACGGACGCTGACGAATTGAACGGGTTTACCCCTGGAATACAGATGGGAATGATTAGAGAAAAATACAAATAGACACTGACACTGGATCGGGGAAATGACGGGCCGGGAACACACGCACTCATATCATAAAAATAATTTGTACTATAACAAAGAATTTTTTGATATACATGTACATGTATTGTAAGTTTTTCTTTGAATGACAATACAGTTTTTAAAAAATTAATTCCAGTATATCAAAACATTGAAAACAAAGATTTAAATATAAATCGGTGATAAACGCGATATGTGACAAAAAATGAACGATATTCCAACTCAGTGGATTTTTTTTTTTGAAAGAATTTTCAAATTTTATCTTGGATATATATTTAAAATCGCTGTGAATAAGTAGAAAACATGATATATCTTTATATTTTAAGTACACACAATAATTAAAAAATAATTGCCTGGATTGGTGAATATCTTTGGAACTTATTTTGGTTGTAAATGATGCGAGGAATAAATTTTTAAAATATTAAGAGACGGTTTCTTTGTGTGATGTTCAAAATTATGCAAAGACCACAACTTTTCCCCATTTTAAATGACATTACTGTGAATTAAATATTTATTATATATGCGCTAAAATATTAATTTCACTTTAATAAACATGACCTAATTTTAAATGTTTTTATACACGATTGTTTGCATCATCAATCCTTAATAAGATGCATTTTTTTCATCAAATATTGAATTATTAGTTTGATATTTAAATAAATGATATAAAATCAGAATTACATACATGTATAACTTGACATTATAAAATATTTACAGCAATTTATTTTAATTTTTTGTCACAGAGACTAAGGAAAAAAATTAAGAAAATATATATTTGTTCCATTTATTTTGTTTCAAAAATAAAAAAAAATTGGAAATGTAAAAATATTGAATATTCTTATTGGTTTATCAAAAATATCTATTAATTTATTTCCATGTGAACATGCATAACACAAGAATAAATGTGCGTCTGGGTTGTGAAATACACATAAGTAATAAATTATTACAAACTAGGGTAATTGTCGTGTGTGTAAATATCAAATGCTTTTTGTTGGTTTGCAGTAAATCAGTGGCTTGACACGCAGGGTGCGTTCGGCTTGACCAGGTCCCTGATGCGCCACAAAAAGGAAACGTGCTGGTGCAACTTTTCGACAGCACGGTGCCATGACCATCAAATTGGAGCTTACTGATCATGGATTTTTTGTCTCTCTTAAAAATGTTTTAATTTTTTTTTCTTTGCGTCATCGATTGAAGGTTACTGATCATGGATTTTTTTCGTTTACCTACAAAAATGTCTATTTTTCCTCACATCAAAAGTCGGAATTTCGAGTGACAAGTAAAGATTTTTTTCATGAGTTTACTATTAAATGTCTCCGCCAAACCACTGTCTGCCTCCCTAACCAACACACAATCCAATACTCTGTCTTATCAAACATATTTAAAACTTCTACATTAAAGTCAATGATTTGCATTGGAGTTCGTTCCACCTTGAGTTAATCCATCATAGTCAATCTGTGTCTTATACCTGAAAAGGTTGGGGGAGGGGCTCTTTAACTTTACATGGTGGGATAAAAGGATACAGTTCGTCATAAAACGAGAGATCTACTAAGCGCAGTTCATTACAGGGGCAAGAGAAGCAACTCTTCAAACATTTACGATTTGATGTATCATGCAATAATAAGTGAAACATCCACCACCACCCCCTAAGAAAACCCAAACACCTCCAAGAACTTGTAAATAAACAAATTGTGTTTTCCCAAAATGAGTGAACAATAATTTAAAGAAAAAGTATCGTTATTCATGTGGATAGCAAACTTTTGGCATTATTTCAAAAATAAATTTTCACCAACACAAATGATTTTTTTTTCAATAATTTAAAATTTCAAAACTGGCATCCCTCGGAACGATAGGTTAATATACATGTACGTATATCATTAATCAAATTATTTTTTACATATGCATTTATTTCATTATTATATTGGAAGAATTATTGGGTGATTAATATTAACATTTGTACTCGTCACCTTTAATGCAAGACTTCAAATTTTTTAAAAGTTCTATTTAATTAATCTTAATATATAAAATCACTTTTATTAGAAGAAAAACTTAGCACATGATTTATACTGGAAATTAATTTTATATACTAGTATACAGTAGACAATAATGGCAAATTAAACCACTGTGTATCTACATGTATTACATTAGAAATGTAGAACATTCAATTACTTCAAAAAATAATAAACAGATTTGCTTGGAAGACATGACAGTATTTGATATGAAATAAAGATATAGATTTGTTATCCAGGATTTGATGACAAGTCGGTAGACGCGGTGCTATATGGTATTATAACGGAACTGAACTGTCGCAGCTTTTCCGTTCGCATTAGCGACTTTTGCGTACGTGGTAATTACACTCGGTTAGAGCGGCGAGGAATTGCAGACAAAATCTTTGAAAACTACCTACTTTTCTGATGAAATTGACGGGTACCTGAGAACATGATGAATTAAAGAGCAGAGATTGTCAATGTTCGGATCCTGACGGATTTCATGTGAGATCTAATGAAGCACGTTCATTACCAGAGTCTACAACCCACACGACTAATCACTAACGGTCTTTTCACCTACGTGGATTAAAACGGTGATTTCGTATCTAATTTACAGCAATGATCCGATTTAAAGGAAGAAAAAAAATACTCAATCTGTAAAAGTCATCCGTACTTAACACACATCCAGTCATGTCCGCCGAGTTCAGTGGCATCACCTGAACTTACTTTTACATTTATATGGATAAACATGGACAAATCATTTTATTTAGAGTTTGTAAACGTACAGTAATAGGGCCTGAAATGACCAAATTTTGGTCTCAAACGGTATACAGTTATGTTCTCAATTACGAATTTACTCACAGTCTTCAAAATCAAATTTTTAACATTATAATACTAGCATGTATTGGTTCATACTATTAAAGTTGAATTGTATAGAGTCTTGCTTCAACTTATTAAAAAACTGCTTTTTGGATATTTCATTTATTAAGCATATCGAATGTTAAATTTGAGAAAAATACATTTTAAAATAACAACCATATAATTGTATTACATGTATAAATTATTCCAACAATGCAAAACCAGTGAATCATTTTCATAACCAATATGTATAGATGTACAATATCACAATAAAATACAGAATGTGTCAATGCATGCAGTTTTGATGAATTTCACATATTTTTCAACGTCTAAATTCATCTTTTTATCCATAATATACTTTAAAACTTTTTCACATTCAATTGTCATTGAATTTGATAAATTATCAAGAAAGTGTATATATAATTTATATATTTTAAAATTTAAACATTTAATCACGGAGTTAATGACACAACATTACAATCCACTGGATTGAACTTCCGGTTCCCCCTGACGTCAGCTGGAGTCAGGTGACTCGTTGCTGGTGCTGAACATAGGGTCAATGACGTGTTCCCGTGTCAGCCCAATACTGGAGCCAGAGGACGTACTAAGGTTCTCGTTACTACCAATAAAGGCATCTGTACAGGGATAAAATGTATCAAGTTAACCAAAGGAGACTTTAGAATGTAACATCGTTTTCTATACAGGGATAACACGTATCAACATTTAACCACAGCAGAGTGTACAGCTGCAGAACTGCTGCTCTATTGTTTGATATAAAAGTCTCTGATCATCACGCTACAAATACAATATAAATGTAAACTGTAGAGGTACTTGTACTGTGAGCACTGATCTCACTAAATGATTCCTCCGCCTCAAATATGATTATGGGGACAAAATCCATGTTTTGCCCTGGGAGACCCGAAATATGGGTCAGATCAAAAAGTAAAGTAGGAGGTGCATAATTGCAATATGTAATAATCTGTGAAAGTATCACTAAATTTTATTTAGTGGTATAGGAGGGGTTGCAGATCAGAGATGGGTATCCTTCAATATTATAGAAAGAATGGCAGTGTTGAAGACGATATTTTGCTAAGGGAAACATGAAAAGTGTCCAATCAAAAAGTAAAACAGGGTGCGCACAATGGCAATATGTAACAAAGATTCTTTGAAAAATTCATTAGATTTCAATCAGTGGTATAAGAAGCGTTGTTGATAAGAGATGGATTCCCAAAAGCGTAAAAGACGGACGGACGGATATCCCGATCACTATAATATACATGTACATATACACCCTCCCACTTTTCAAGCGGGGGCATAATAATTTGCTATTTACGGTGCATGATTTTCTGCTCCCTGTTTGGGAGAATTCTCCACTTTTCAGCATTGGTCAGTCAGCTACTTTTCACTTACTAATTCTAGACACATTTTTTTTAAACCAATGTAAGTATTTTATCAACCTATCAAACCCTTTATAGTCGACTATAGAGACCAATAAACTCGCTTGTTTTGGAATTTTCTACCATCCAACAAAAATCAAAACAAGTGATTTTATTGGTCTGTAGGGATAAGTATGAAGGGTTTGGACGTTTATTAAACATGCAGATTGGTTAAAAAAAATTGTAAATTGTGGAGTGAAAGGTAATTGATTGACCAGTGCTGGAAAGTGGAGAAGTTCTCAATAGATATACACTGATAAAACGTATCAACAGTTAACCAAAGAAGAATTTAGAATGTACAGCTTTAAATATACACATGGATAAAACTTATCAATAGTTAACCAGAGGAGAATTTAGAATGTACAGCGTCAGAACGTATCAACAGTGAACCAGAAGAGAGGTTAAGCCTAGAAAGTCATCAATACAAGGTTAGAACAGATTTTAATGACGCAGTCCTGTTCATTTTTACGTTATTGGAAACATTTTAAAATAAATTTCGTTTTTTATGACTCCTGGGGTAATGAAGGGGAAAAATATGTCATATCGTAATGAAATGTCACATAAACTCCGGTAAAATTACGTGATCATAAAAAATGTCTTTTGTCCCCATTTTTAATTTTGAGACGACCAGTTGTCCTAAAGAGGCGAGTGAAACAATGTTTTGGAGAATACTCTCCTGGCGGGAATAAAAGTAAACCCACGACATCCAAAGCCCCCGGTCCATAAAACCATCAACAAGCAATCTGACCTATTCTATACAACTGTTTTCTCTGCTATCTCTTTGTTATAAATAGTGATTAAAATGAAACAGTGATGACGAAGATTAAAAAAGATGCTGATTAATAATTCCCTCTCAGGTAACCGATCCACCTCTCCCGGCTTCATTATCTTACCGTCAACAATATAGGCTCTTAATCCAAAGCCCGTTATTGATGCACCCACCGAGTATAGGGATAATAGAGTAGGGGGCTCGAATTATCATAGCATTAAATAAACTACACGTGAAATTAGGCCCAGAAGACTAGCACGACGACAGATCATCAGGATGACTGATCAGGCGTTATTAAAAGATAGAGGTGAGTCGCTTAGCATCTCTAGGCATCTTAAAAATCAGTCTCCGTCTTTGATAGCTGATTCAGTCTCCCCTTGCTTGGCTAATTATAAAAGAGTTTTAATGACTCTAAAACAGATAGAAGCACCTGGTGCCGCTAGCCAGCCTTAAGCAATCGTCTGCTTAAAACCAAAGATGGAAGAAGAAATACCTAGCTCTTTGTGACTGGGAAACCTAGCGCTGTCTATTAGTGACATTGTTACATAAAACAAAAAGGTTATAAAAGTCCGAGATAATGTGTTACCAAAGTAACGGGAATGTTTTAACGTTTTATAAAATGACAGAACAACGAATGTTGACAAGATATATTGGCTTTAAGATGGGAATTAAGTTTACTTTCAACTACATGTTGTATCAAATATTTGTTGTATACTGTGAAATCACTAATTTTTGTGGGGGGGTTATTTTGTTGTTTTCCAGGAATCTCGAGACCCACGAATTAATGACCACCACGAAAGGTAAAATTTAAAATGCATTACTACTAAACATTTTCCAACCACGAAATCAAATCCCTACAAACCAATATTACTATTATTTCTTCAAACCTCGAAAATTTGACCCCTTGAAAATATGTGATTTTACAATATACACATTAGAACATAGTGAACACTGCCACAAGTACAACCTTCCACATACCTTCACGTTCAATTTTTAGAATTTTATACATTCAATGGTCAACAATAAACAATATATTTTAATCCATGATTTCAGAAGGGATTTTAAAATAAATGAAACTTTCATAGATTGAAGAAGACAATATCACGAAGTGATGGTATCAATTAGGTTGAATTCGACCGTTTTATTTTAGATGCAAGGTAAGTCCAAGGTCTATTTCATCGATGTAAAGAATAACAAATTACTGTTGCCAATCCTGTGATGCCAAATATTTTTTTAAAAGATTAAACATGTACCTTCTTGCATAAAATGATACTACTACATGTATATAGAGTCTATCAGTTGACGACAAGAAAATTGACATAAATAATTTAACTGAGAAATATAGGCCTAGAATGAAAGCTTTCAATAGCAAATGAGATAGTAATATATTTGGAAAATCATATTTATTTGATACTTTGTAAAACTTAAGTCCATAATTATTAATTTGAGTAAGAATAATTTTTTTTCTGTCTTTTAATTAGGGATGTCAAAAGTGTCAATAACTGAGATTCAAATATTCCATACGAGTATTCGAATATATGCGGATATTTAAGGCTGGGTATTGGCCTAAGATTTCGTATATTGCGATATATTGCGATATTTTTAACTGTATTGCGATATGTATTGCAATATTTTAAATGTAATCAAAATGGCATTTTCTTACTATATTTACTTTAATTTACATGCAGAATGTACATAACTATGATAAATAACCAACAAAGAAAAAATCCTGTTGATTTCATTTAAGTTATGCTCTGAAATACTCCCAAAAACAACTTCTCTCTTACTGTTTGGCTTAATAACAAATCTTTCATCAGTCCATTTTTATATTTAATGATAAAATTCCTTAATCTAAGCATATTGCCAATACATCAATATTACAAAATCGTATTGCAATACGATATTTTTTGTCATTGTATTGCAATATATTGAAATATCGATATTTTTGCCCAGCCCTACGAATATTTGATAAAACAAATACGTTTTGCATTATAAAATGTATATTTTCACTCTCCTGTCATGCAGTATACATTTTATGTCATTATTTTGGGATTAAATTCATGTAAAGTTTTGTAAATTCACAGTAATTATATCTTTAAAATATTTTACACAGTATATGTATATATAATATAAAGTTTACATCCAACATGTAATGAATTATTTTTGAAAATTGAAAAGATTCTTTAGTATGTTCCAGATTAATTGATCGTCTTACCAAAATATACACTGATAACTCCATGCAGAACAATTATCTGATGGAGAAAAATTAAAAACAATTACTTTTAGTTAATTAATTTCCTGATAATGATTTTAAATAATGATATTTACGTAAGCAGGGGATCAGTTGTAAGTACTGGACATTGTTATACCACTAATTAAAGGTTTGTTCCCATCTCGCCTTAACTGTAAAATTTAGTATTCCCATTTCGCCTTAACTGCGAAATTCGGTAAGAAAAAGTTAAAAAGTACTAAGGCAAAATGGGAATTTTAGTATTTTTAAATATTATTACTGGGTTAATATAAAAATTTAAATTTTTAGATTGAATTTAAGTTAATGGGAATTTATGAATACAGTGAATGAAATAATACATGTAATACCAAGTATTTTTTTGAAAAATACTTTCTGCTAAATATCACCTTAATTCACCTGAGCGATTAATAAGGCGAAATGGGAATACTAAATTTTACAGTTAAGGCGAGATGGTAACAAACCCTAACCCTAACCCTGATCAAATGAATAATTTATTTTAATAGATACACTCTTCAAACCTTTCAGGTAATCCAAGAGGAGTGTCTTTTAATTCTGTTCTAAACTAAATCTTATTGCTGGTCAACTGTATGAACTTGATTCAATTTCTAATCAAACTTTCCATATTTTTCTCTCTATTAAAAGCTTGTACACTTAAAACTGAATTTTTGAATCTTAAATTTAAATTCAATTTCAAATATCAATTTCTTGAATGAATATTTGAATATTCGTTGACATCCCTACTTTTAATGTCTTTTTAATGTTTAATGTCTTTTAATGTTTTAAACATTTTAATGAAATTCATAAATATTGTTAAGCAGTAATTTTGAGAAGCATATAAAGGAGAAATTTTCATATGCCACCATTTCACCAAATAATAGTCCTGGTAAGATTTCAAAGAATTCAAACTCAGTTTGCCTTTGCTATACAAATCTGTAAAGTTGTATTATTATGAGAAGGAAAGAAAAATATAGTCTTTTAAATCCATTTAAGACATAGAAGCAAATATAATTTGAATATTTTATCAAGTCAGAAACCAGAAAAAAAATTGCTCTTGTGTGATTAAAATTTTTCCTTCAAAATATTTAATTTAAAAAATATTCAATTTGTATATTTTAAGTGGACACCCAAGGTATCTGTGATGCAATGTCTTTTTTGCATACACATGATGTACATTATGAAATTCACAATTCAATGTTTTACAATAGAATACCCCCCCCCCCCCAACCACAGCCCACCCAAGAAAAAGGTTAAAGATAAGATACACCTTTTCAGAAATTGTACTATAGTGGAGCTTTGCATTTTAATCTTCTTTTAGGAGTTTAAGTACTCATTGGTTTTGGATCCAATTAATTAAGTCAGTCTGCAGGTACACTCCTTCTTTTCTGGTAATGCTAAGCTTTGACTATATATGTTGCTCCTGTTTCTTGACTTACCATGTGATACAGATGAGGGACCCCCCTCCTTCATTGGGGACTCTAACATGGCCTCAGCTAGAGTCTCTTTCATTTTCTCATCTAACTCTACACTTCCTCTAGGCTGCTTAGCAACTGTGGACTCGGCCCAACTGCTGTAGACATCACAAAGGTTTGGAGACTGATCAAAACTACCTGGAAGTCAGAGAATAAAGTCTTGATCAATAGTACCTGTAAATCAGAGAATAAAGTCACGGTCAAAACTACCTGGATAAATTGACAGTACTTAAGTACTGTTGTTCATGTAGATATGAAAATTGTATCAGTGCAGAGTTATTTTTTAAATGAATTACGTCATATAAAACATATAGTAATCCTGCTTGTACATTTATAACATAAATTGCTTAAAAGTGCATGCTTCTTATCATCACTGATTTTGTAACCAATCTATCTCAGAGAGGACACAGAAACCTGTGAGTACTGGAGTAGTTACAACACTTACCTGCTTCTATGAGTAAAGGTGAAGGTCCTTTTCCAGGAGATGAGGTGATGTCACTTCCTGTTCGTCTGTAGGCAGGGCGAGCATTGGGCATGGCAACAGGACTAGATCTCACTGGCTGGATTCTATACATAAAATGCACACAAGTTCTAATAATAATAAATAAGCGAAATATAAATATAGATATGAAATAAATAATAATTAACACCACTTGAGTAAAATTTTTTTGTTTTACAAAATGTAATCAACTATTTTGAATAAATTATTCATATTTGCAAAGAAATATTTTGTTTATTTCAATGAAAAAAAAAGAGTTTAGAAGCAATTAAGCATAATCTGACCCCCCTTTCCCCTCTGTTAAGTCTCTCAGTGAGTTCCCTATGTTCATGTCTTACTTGAGGCTTTCGAGGTCGACCTCGTCTGAGGTGACGTCCATGTTGGACAGGTTGACCTCTGGACTCTGTGACAGTAGGGCTGAGGACTGGGAGGACAGGACAGTTGTGTTCTGGACGTTCTGGTATGTCTTAAAGGAGAACTGCGGCCCCATCCAGAGGCGGCGGTGTGGTCCCACGTGGGTAATGATCTCCACCTGAGAAGTAAATGAATCACTCGTCACTACATCACCAAGGTTAGGCATTGAATGTACATAGGTATCATTATTGATGCATGGTAAAAATTTTCTTTTTTAAATAAAATATGGTTTACTTGAGAAAGCCACTCCTGTTGATCCACCACTCTATTTTCCTGTTCTGTCGGTAAGCTGTCCCTGGAGTCTTGTCTGGTCACAGGAAGCAGATCACTGTCATCTGTAAAGTAACCACATCAACTGTCATGTCTCAGTGTATGCATTGAAATTGAAATTTGTGGAATAATTTTTCATAATGGATCCATTTTCCTGTATTTGGAAATGATCTCTTACTATTTTTTAAATTTTTTTTATTAATTCCCCTCAGAAAAAAGAAAAATCAAATGCCCAGTATGTGATTAATTTTTTTTTTTTTACACAAACTGATTTAAGGTAAATAAAGTGGGCAATTTTTACCTGAGTTTTTACCTGAGTATGAGGATGGTCTTTGTGACATGACAGCATCAGAGGCCAGAATAAGGGGGTTATTGATGACTAGAGGGGGCCTGACTTCCTCAGAGGTCTTTGACCTAGGATGAACACAAATCAGAGACATATTATCTGGCTACAAAATCCTGAACATTATTTTAAACACCTACAATGCAGAAGTAAGGCATATATACATAAGGATATATATCTACCCTTATCCCAGATCACAAGATATGGGTGAAATGAATCACCTTTAAGAGATCATACTTGTAATTTATTATTTTTCTCATTTTCCTTCATAATCTAGAAATTACTTAGATATGATCTTGGTACTACAATAAGGAAACATTATTTTTATTGATGAAAATATTTGCACCACTTATAATCTATCAGCATCCAACTTACCGCTGTAGGTGCCACTGCATATAACCAGTAATGGATAAATCCAGAGGAGTTCCATCTGTTACTTTCTCTGTTACTTGTTTGGATTTAGGGTCAAGGACATACTCCACTAGAGTACCCGTCTGACTCATAAGAAAGAGGGAATCTGCTGCTCTCTTACCTTCTACAAAGAGTACAAGAAAGACCTAAGAACAGCAAAACAAATATTATTATTAATTGTACATACTGGAAATCTAATAGATATTTCTTATCTGTGCCTTTCAAAATTTACTTTTTGTTTACAGCTTCTGCAGTTACAATTTTTTGCATTGTGACATTTAATGTGCAGTAGAACAGAAATGATCATTTCAATGAAAATTCATTGAATATTCATTATAGAGAAAAAATTATATAAATGTTCCTATTTACAGTCCATAATTTTATAAAATTTTGTAAAATCCTGCCATCTTCCAACAAACAAGACAACTGACAATGAAATAACAGAAATACCTCTCCTGTCTACAGAGAGGCTGGGACTTCCTCCGACCCACACCCTGGGGGTAGAAAAACAGGCTGTGACCAGGATCCAGTTGTCTGACCCCGTATGTGAGGGGCTGCCCGTCTTACTACTGCCCCGCCCCATCATCAAGGGCTGCTTGATCTGAGCCAGAGGGTACACAGTGATGGGGTGGGGATAGGGAGGAAGTCTGGGGTTCCCTATACTGTTGTTGAGGGCATTGTGTCTCAGTAAACTCGGGTAATTGTCATATTGACCTACAAAATGTAAAGATTTTTGTATATCATGAGTAGAAAGCAAATAAAGATTCTTGATCACTTTTCATTCAAATAAATAAATCAATAATATTATGAAAACAAATCATCGTTCAACAAACAAATATGCCAACTAACCCATACCTGCTGATGTTGGGCTTCCTGAGGCATTGAGTACAGGGCTATTCCTACCAGCACCATGATCCATATCATCCAGACCGGCACTCTTATGGAATCGACTCGCTCGATTTACAATCCGTGCACTACAGTGTGTTCTGGTATTCACTTGTCCTGCAAAAGAGCAACATTTGTCAATTACATACTACCGGTAAGACAGTGTTAAATTCTAAAAGAGCATGACTGTGAATGCAAATCTGGTAATTTTTCAACATAATTTACTGTATATACTCGCCTATAAGTCGGTTTTTTGGGAGTAAATCTCTGATCTAAAACTCTTTGTACGACTTATAGGCGAGCTATTAAAAGTAAGGTTTTATATGAGGTCAGTCCATCCAATATACAAGCTTATTTAATAAAACCGACTTATAGGTGGACTGACTTATAGGCGAGTATATACGGTACAACTTACTCCTCATAAGAATTACAGTTACTGTGAACATGTATGTTGCTGTCATTTTTTATATCAAGAACAATAAAAAATGCAATTGCCAAGTTTTAACGTGCCCCCTCCTTTACATTTTTGAGGCTTACATGCTTTAATATTATCATTAAATCATTTTCAAACAAGTTTTATTTAGAAGATTACCTCCATATGGTGTAATGGGGAAAAGATGAGTTGTTCCTCGGTGAGAACTGACTGTCACCCATCTGCTGTCATGGCTAAAACACATGTCAATCACCTGGCAAAAATAATACTAAATGACATGCTGATCCTATACAGTGTACATAATATTGTCACATTTTCTGTCAATCTAATTAAAATGTATCAAAATATTGCCTGACTTCTAAGACACACATATTAACCTTTCCTTCAACTGACCCCGACAAATCAACCAAACTTATGATATTTACATACCGGTACTCAACATTGCATATAGTCATTGTGTTTTCTCAGACAGACCTTGGCAGTTGTCTCCCCTCTGTGTAGTGTATATAGGTGATGAATTGCCCCCAGTGATGATGCACATGGATGTGCCATGATTCTGAACACATGAAAGTTATGCCCTAGTTTACACGCTGTCAGGAGCAATGTACCAGAGGAGTCAAAGGTCAAACAGGACACAGGCTCGTTAGCGTGGGCGTGGAAATGAGCGATCAGTCCGTCAGCTTCATTGTCTTCACTCACACTGAACTGTCAATAGGAATAAACAGTACTCAACATGGTCAGCAAGTAGAGTAAGGGAGGTAATGCTACATTAATACATGTCATCACCAAAATTTAATAACAAAGTCAGAAAAAACATCTCATGCCAATTATTTTGTAACTTTGCTTTCAAAAATACCTAACATAAATCTACTCTCTCCATAGTCTTCAATTTCTTTTATCAAGGATAGCTTAACTTGTTTTAAAAAAAAATACAAAATTTCCAAAAAACATACATCACAGGTGCTTGTTTCATAAAATATGCTAGGTTTCTACTGAATTACATAGTAGAAACCTAGCATATTTTATGAAACAAGCACCTGTGACATACATGTAATTTAAAGATCATTTTAAAGAAATAAAATGATTTAAATATGAAATAAAGCCTCACATGATCGATGTTGATTGTCTGTGTGTCAATGATGGACACAATGCCTGGACGATGACCGTTGTCCAGGGGTGGAGAGTCAGCCTTCTTAGGGGTGGGGGCAGGCTTTGTTCCTGTTACACTGTGAACCATAGCTTCTCCAAACAGGGTCAGACCCTTAAATGCTCCCTGTAATAAACCAAATTATAGTGTTCTCACTTCTCAGTTATTTTCTCTGCTTGGTTGATATTTGCAAGTATTTTGCATTTGTACATTTAATGTTTACAATTTTATCATCATGTAGTTTAACATTTACTAAACACTGTTTTCAATATAAGTGTTTTCTAAATCCTGGTAGAATACATTCCACCCAATTTCTGCAACATCAGAGTTATGTTGCACAGATAGTCCTTCATCTTTACCGTTAGCAGTATCTTTATAAGAAAATACCAGTACCAAAACAAACGTTGATGACCAGAATCAATCAACCAATGAAATCGTTACCTTAGCAGCACTGATGACCGTGGCAGCATAAGACTGGGACCCATCTCCTGACATACCCCCACAGGACTGGTGCATGGGAACAAGCTGACAATTAAACAGATTAAACATAGAACTAAAAATCTATGTACACTGCTGAATCAACATTGCACGTAAGCGAGAATTCATCGTAAGTGTGTTTGCTACATGTATAACCTGTGGTATTTTACTTTATATTACTTGAAACATTGCAAGGTACCTACAATTAGTAGTGTTGATATACTCACCCTTTTATCTGCATAGGCTAACCACCTCGTACCCAGAGCAATAGGGTTAATATTAGGGCCAGTGTTAGGGAAACAGTCTGAAACAGACACAGATATACAGACTACACCGTATAGCCGGTAATTTTAGTGGGATGCTAATTTTGGCTTATTTTGGCGTTTTGATGATAGTCCGCTAAAATTTTAATTGCTAAAATAGTTAGTACTCTTCTTAGTGTCCATCTGCAAAGAGATGAAACCCTGCATCCGATAAAATAACTTACGCCAAAATTATTGGCATACCTTTGAATATGCAAAACGCCAAATTTTACACCTGCCAAGAAAACCCGCTATATGGTATTCCAGTTATTTAACAGTGTGTTAAAGACGACCAAAGTCACCAGAGAGTCATATCATTATTATTTAGTATCTTACTCATGACCCAGAACAGCTGTCTCAGTGAACAGGCATCATACACACTCAGCTTCTCTTGGAACACCACCACAACCACTCTATAAATAGAAATTACATCACAATTAGTCTATACATGTAAAACAATGTAAAACTGCAATCTTTGTAAGCATGGTAAGTAAAACCTTTATATGATAAAACATGTTTCTTACTAGCACATACTGTTCTTCCTTGCACCTTTGGATTTGTATCATTCATATTAATATCAAGTGATATTGATATTTACACATGTAATATGTACACACACTTATCCAATACTTACCTCTTATTGCCCTCTATGTTTATCACAGGGTGAGTTTTAAAACTGATGTTGTGAACCTCATCCCCCGTCCTTAGGGAAATGAACTTCACTGAACAGTAGGGCTGTCCAGCACTTCAAAAGAGAGAGAGATAAATTTTAAGTGCATAATTTTTATTCTCAACAGTGCTCAGTTTACATCTGACTACAATTAAAGACATTTTGCAAAAGGACTTTGCATTAATGAAACTGCCAAAAATAATTCTACTGAGAATAAAAAAAGTTTTCCTTTATACCTGGTACTGTCACAGAGAACAGCCAGTGGTCTCTTATAATGGAACTGATCAGGATCCTCAAAAACTGTTAGAAAATAAATACATGTACATGTATATTATAATTAAATATATGTATATGGGTTATTGATATACATATCTATTCCTCCTTATATGAATAATAAATGGGCTATTATTTAAACTTTTCCCAGAAAAAAAATATAGAGAAAACATCATAAGACTGTAATCTAAATTTGAGACAGTGATGCCTCAAAACACTGGTCATCAGAATGCACTAGTATTCACCCTGCAATCTAAATTTAACAGAGCATAGCATTTAAAAAAAAGTCATCAGAAAGAGCTAGTACTAACCTTGTGTTGGGGTTGGCAAAACTTTGAAGATTCTGATTGGTCCTTGCCTCAGTGACAACACTTCCTGTGCTTCCCCATTGGTCTGTGAAACAGAATTTAACTTTAAAATATATAAACATGCATGTATGCTTTATTCATGCTGCATCAAACTCTCACATACAATATCAAAGAATCACAGTGGTAATACAAAAAGACCAATAATGCTGATATTTACAGAGATGAATTTAAGAAGAATGTCCTTAAATTTACCGCTATACTCCACACTTGTACTCCATTTCCATATCCCAGTATCAGCAATAATGGCACTCCTTTGCTCTCGTTTGTGTTCAGATCTGGATTCGAGGACACATCTAGAATTAAAAACAAGAAAAGAATAAACCTTACATCAATAAAAACAACCATCAAATACTGTATACAGGGTTATTTTTGCCTCGTGTTATTTTCGCCCTTTCACACTTGCAGACAATTTTGCCCCATTTTAAATTCATAATAGTTTTATATAAGTAATTATTCTGTATTCTTTGAATTTTTGCTCTGTATTAAATTCGCCCAGAGGACGGTAGGGTGAAAGGGCGAAAATTTCCCTGTATACAGTACATGTTATATGTTTTGATGGAATTACTTATCACTTAAGTCATTTGAACAAGTTCAAGCATATGACACAACAGTATTTTTTAGATGATTTCTATGTTCCTGACTGACAGAGACAATACTTTTATAAACAATCTCTTTTCCCATGAATTGAATCATTCAAAACTTCAGTAATCAATATGTAAAATTGATATCAAACTGGACTAACTATCACTCTAATATTGATATCAGATGGGCAAACTGTCCACCCCTGCATCATGTCCATTGATTTCAGGCTTTGTAAACTTACTGTCACACACTTTCACTGATATCAGACTGGACAAACTATTATTCTATCACCGATATCAGACTGAGCTAACTGTCACCCTACCATTAATATCAGACTGTCACTACTCCATTGATATCAGACTGGGCTAACTAACAGTGACCCTACCTAATTGATATCAGACTGTCACCCCTCCAACCATGACCCTACCATTGATAGCAGACCAGGCAAACTGTAATTCTACCATTGATATAAGACTGGACTAACTTACAGTCCTTGTATCACTGATATCAGACTGGGCAATTTAACAATGACCCTACCATTGATATCAGATTGGGCAAACTGAACCCACTGAATTCTCTCCTTGTCCTCAGCCTTTGTGTTTCCCGTGTATGCCTAAAAAGAAAAAAAAAATATGTATGCTACTATAAACAACAAAACAGCAGAAGATATTTTCATTGTTCATGTAAATTTTAAAATTTGTGTGTTTCATGACAATACTTACTAGAGAGTATAATATGTTAAATAACTTTTACTAAATCTCTCATTAAATATCTCTTAAGTTCTACTTTCATGATAAATTTCTAAACTGCACATCTATTATATTGATAATTTTACTTATTCTTTTAACAATATTAATACAATTTAATTTCTGAATCTCTCATCTGTTATACACTGTTGTTATCATCCATCAGAGATGTATACAGAGTTCCTATTCAACATCTCTCCCTCTCACCTTTGGTAGATACATATCTTACCTGTGGTACTACGTCTGAGATGAAATCCACAACACTCTCCATCACACTCTTTTCACTAAAATATATATATCAGAGATTAGTTGGTTTCATTTAATCATTATGCACACGTTGTCAATTGATCGTGTATTTGTTCATTATGTGTAATAGAATTTGAAATAGGTATGTAATGTGTACAGCTCAGCAACATGCCTACTAACAAGTAACTAGATTTTATATCTAACACTTGTCAGTTACAGCCATATTGAAGAAATCTTCTTGCACATTTGTCCTATTGGTACTCGACAACAAAAAATCAATTGGATTTAATTAATGGCGTTTAGAGTGACTAGGTCTCATGTGTTAGATGTCTAACAATTCATAAAAAAGAGGGAGAATATGTTCCACAGTTTGGATCTCCTTTTGCATTGTATATAGTTCTCCTATTAGTCTCCTATAAGTCGTATATGCATCAACAAACACTACCTAATCAGCAAATCCTCAAGCCCACCTGGTAGGATTTTGGATTTTATATTTGAAAGTATTTAGTCTTCTCCCTTAATTTTCATTAATGTCTATGAAATATTGAATCTAATTTTCTTTTTTATCCTTTAAACACATAGGTGCTTTTGACGTTTATAATCTAATTTCTTTTCATTAATAAAAAATATTCCCCATACTATTATTGCCATTATTATAGCATGGGGAATTTTCAAATTTATTAAAAAAGGGGAAAAAATGTCAAGTGGCTGCGATTATACACAACTGGTACAATGGACCCTACACTTGCATATGCTCTAATAATTGATAAGTGGCCTTTCAAAGAAATTCTTAGACTTTTTTTGTTTTAATAAATCTGTTATCCATAAAAATCACTATTATAACAGAAATTAATCTGTAGGCTGAGTAGCAATGAAATAATGAGATGAAACACAGAAATCTACTTCAACACGTTTTAATCCCTGGCCTCAAGACCATAAACCGAGGAAAGACTATAAGTCAAAATGAATATAACTAAGAAATATTCTGGTATTTGAAACAAATGCTTGAATTAACTTTTTTATGGTCTTAGGTCCTGGTCTGCTTCATAATTCTATAGGACTGCGCGATTTCAGTTTGGAATAATTTTGAATTGAAGATCGGTAAAACAACTGATGCCCTTAATCCTGGACTGAAATCTGAATCAATCTAAGTAAACAACACCCATAGCATCAAATTAAACGATTCAGAATGCTAATTACCTAAAAGCCTGTGGTCTAATAACGTTGTAAGTTGATTTTATACTTCTTTTCGGTGAATCTGCAGCCATATTTTGGATATATTTGCCTTTAAACACGAAAAATAATGCTACATAAGCAGAGGAAAAATACAAATATGACGTCAGGTTTGTTTTGGTTTGTCCGCGAAGCAATAAACTGAAGAGTTCTACTTCCGGTTCAGAGTGGTGGATCTAATAGCTGTCCAAAACTTCTGAATAATTCAATTATCCCCCGTCATTCTCTTCGTGTTCATTTTAAAAATATAAACATTAAAGTAAAAATGTATCCGTAAACAGACAAAAGTGGCTCACATGACATTCAAGTGACTTCATTTTTTTCTTCAAATTTCGAAATTGCAGATTGTTAGTATCTGTATATATCAGTATATATAGGTCCCGATATTCATTTTTTAAAGATCTTTCATCATGTGAATTTTTCTTTGTTCTACATTTATGCAGTATGCATGCTTATGGGCAGCGGAAAGGGCAGAAATTGTTTGTTTTCTCATTATGGTAATTTTTGCCATTTCCGCTGCCCATACATGCTCTTCATTTAAAATTCATACAAAAAGTTATGTCAAAATCGCATGAGGTTTATATTGCAGGGGCGTCGGCAAGTATTTGACATTGGGGAGGCGAACTAGATTGAAAAGGGGGGGGGGGTAACTGACGTGTTTTTACTTAAATTCAAATTTCTACCAGTATATTGATGATATATTTTCCCATTCTGTCAATGTTTCAAAGACTCCACCTGATTAAAAAAAACAAAATCGTTTTATATGATTTTATTTACGTCATGTCATAAGCAAATATGAGAAGCAAGTAGTTGAATAAATATTATTTTGAGATAATCAATTAATAAGCACTAATAAACACTACATAAATGAAATCTGTTCATTAAATAATACACAATGTCACTGCACTTTAAAAGCGTCCAAAAATGAAGCTCCGTCCATCCCGTGCTGACACAAAGTCGTTAGCAACTGCCAAATTGTTCAACGCATCTGTAGCCTCCCTGTGCGTGTGCAGGATCATCAAATGATTCAGCCTTTCCTGGGACATAGTGGCACGAAGATAAGTCTTTACTCGACGCTAAGCAGAAAATGTTCGCTCACTTGTAGCGTTAGTGGCTGGCATCACTAAAATAAGTCTCAGTAGAGTCACAATCTCGGAGAATAGGCATCTGGAAGCTGGAGACATCTGAGACACTAAGGTCACCAAAAAGGAAACGGACACAGTTGAGGAATCATTTAAGTTGTTTCGTGCGAGCGTTGTAAATGTATCCAGCTGTGAAGAAAGAGAGGTCTTGTCCAGATCATCTCCATAGAACTTTAAGACAAAGTCCAAATCTTCTTTGTATGTCTTGTCGCCACGCACAGACTTCAGAAGAACGTCCTCTAGATGGCGATACACTTGATAGCCTGGCTGATCAAAACGGTCTTTGACACAGTTCACCACAAGATCCAGAGCTTCGAAGTACTGTTGTCTGTAGAGGTCTTTCTCTGATGTGGCGAATTCTGGAGGGGCCTTTCCGGTTTCAAATCGCTTGGGCATTTTTCTTCGCCGTGGCAATGTGGGCTCACTGACGTCCAGTTCATCAAGTTTTCCGTTAAGTGATTCCCAGAATGAGTCGAAGGACTCTTCCTTTCGCATTGCACTTAGTGACGTCAGGGAAAGGTCTGTCAAGTGTTGGCCCTCGGCAGCTGACAGGTCTTTCTTCTGAAGTGTTCGGCTAAGATTGTCTGTGTGACGTAGAATCTCGTATCCAAGGGACACTCCAAAGAGAAAGTCAAAACTTTGCATCTGAGTTTTTACGCCGATGATCCTGGAACGGGCTTCTGGATCCTTTGTGCACTCATAGCAGGTCTCCCACAAGGACTGAAGGACAGAGTAGTTTTCCAGAACGCTGTTCAAACTGGCAGCTCTAACAGTCCATCGAGTAGGGCATAGCAGACGGAATCCCGGCGTATCAGGTGCCATCTCACGCTTTAGCTGTTCCAATATGGTATCCCTCCTGGGCGAATACTTTACAAGTTTGGACATTTCAAACACAGTATCCAAGGAATCACGCATCACCTTTGATTTTTTCACTGTATCACCAACTGCCAAGTTGAGCGCATGTCCATAACAGTGCGTGTAGATAGCCCTCGTCTCTTTGCTGGTGATGTTAGCAGCCACACCCTTTTTGGCTCCGGACATATTGCTGGCTCCATCATAGCACTGTCCACGGCACTTACTCAAGGAAATGTTCATCCTCACCAATGCATCCAGAATCACATTAGTTAGTGTTGCAGCATCGATAGATGGCACCATACAAAGTCCGATAAACTCTTCGTGCACATCCAGGTTACTGTCAACATGACGAATCACAATCACAACTTGTTCACGATTTGACTGGTCTGTTGTCTCATCTACCATGATGGAGAAATAGCCGTTCTCCCTGATGTTAGAAGCGACGTCACGCAGTATCTTTAAGGCCATCACTTGTAGCATCTCGTTCTGGATATCTGCTGATGTAAATTTGTCTTGTTTCCTTTCCAGCCACTTGAGGATTGATGGATCCGATTCACCATGGAGCTTCAGAAGCTGTAGAAAGTTGCTTTGATCATTGTCGTGGCCACGGAGTGGTAATCCCTGTCTAGCAAGAAACCTGATGTTGCGAAGAATGGTAAGCAGCTGCTGTCTGTTGTGTGTTTTCTCCTCTGAGTGGGCGGCTGAGAGAACTTCACCAATGTCTTTTGTTTCTCGTGGTAGTTTCACTTTTCTCTCCACGGCTTCTTTATGGCAGTCGGAATCTTGATGTTTCCGGAATTTAGAAGTGGCATCCTTCCAATTACAGAATCCCGTGGAAATAAAACTGCCGTCGGCCTTGGAGTTGGAAATCTTGCCCTCTTTTGCAGCAACCATGCAGGTGAAACAGAAAGCCAGATCTTTTGCCTGAAAATAAGAACAAATTTAATTTCAATATATTATTTTTTTTTAAATCGTTTTTTCTCTTTTAAAGTGTAATCATTGTACATTAACCAATGATTTCAACACAATAAATATATTAAAATTTGTATCCTTTCAAAATATCATTGAAAAGATAAAAAATATATATCTTTTAATGTACTTACTTCGTCATAATGTAACCATGCGTATTGTTTAAACCAAGTGGGGTTGAATGAACGCAGTTCTGGATTCTTCTTGCCGAAAGAACGCTTAGGAAATTTAAAATTAACAGGTTGATTAATACTTTTTAACCCGGCCATTTTTGAAATTGAAATGTGGAATAAGTGTAATAATATTTTTAAAAAAATCATCTCAAGTTGTTTTAGACAGTGATTTTAACTAATTTTCAGTTTTCCCCCTTTAATTAATATGCTCATACGTTGTAATACTAGTATTTTCGATAATTGTTTAATGACTTGCAATCATGTTGAATCATCAAAGCTTCCAAACATCGATCGACCAATTAATTGGACTATGAACAATTTGTAGCAAACCCGCACTTACAGCAATCATAATGACTACCCTGTTAATTGTGGTGTGTTCCCGTTTTGCACACATTTGTAATTAGGTATAGAACAAAAGGCGTGAAGTGTGTTTTTATAGCAATTATAGTCTGATTTCTGGCTTGGATTTACCTGTGAATACCTGATTTAGCTTAATGTATTCTAAAGGGGTTTAATACAATTTTATAAACATTTTGTTAAAATTCTATATATATTTATGCGAAAATATTTGATTTTATTGAATATATATTACAGTAATATTTATTTAATATTATTAATTAAGTCCAATTTCTTAAAAAAAAAAACGGTCTTGATAGGTGTGAAGTCTTGATTAAACTCTAAATGTATTTATTTTCTTACTTTTTAAATACAAGTTTACCTTCCACATACTCACTAAGTATGGTATAGACTATAGCAATTAAGTAATTATCTCACCTGGTCAAATTCCCGTTTTCACACATTTTTTAATTACCTGTAATTAAAATGTGTGCAAAACGGGAACAAACCGTTAATTGTGTACACACGCCAGGTACAGGTATATAGACATGCATGTATATCCCGTTTTGACGTCTGTGTAAACAATAGCTTGTACACACTTTGCCGCTCCATTGACCACAGAACATGCAGAATGCCGTTATACTCGCCGCTCCAATGAGCAGATTTCGCCTTTTAAAAAAATCATTTTAAAAAGAAAAACAATCACTATTTTTTTTTTTTTTTTTTTTTTTTGCAAAATTATTGGGGCGGCGACCGCCGCCCCTGCCGCCCCTTTGCCGACGCCCCTGTATTGACTCCATAATCATGATAATAGTCCGCTAAATGTTGTGTGATGCGTCTAGTGTGTTGGTGTCTGTGTGCTTGTCACCTCTCGCTTTCAGCTCTCACCGCTGGCTAGCAGCAATGCAAAAGGGGAGACAATTTGTTAAGTCTTCCCCTGCCAGTACATAGCCTCTCCACAACAAGTCCTATGCGATGCCTCCACGTGGAAGCAGACGGATACTGGACACCTTTCGGCCCCAGACTAACTTTCGCAAGGTCGTACGGGAAGATGAGGCTCGAAAGCCTTGGTCGGCAACTCACTCTGATTACAATCCGGATTTAGTAGGAGACCGTTAGCAACTACTCTGTTGGCCCCCCAGACATAAACTTGAAGGTTGGACTTGAGGCTAATCACCTTCTTCCATAAAAAAACAAATGATTTCGGAAACCGTTACAACAATTAGTACCACTGAAGGAATGGCAAGCGCGACATGCGAGATTCCGGAGGAGGATTACCTTCATTGGGAATTCGAGATACTGACGGCAATTAGGAAAAGCCGAGAGGACCCTAACGGCCTAAAAGGAACGCAGATGCCATACATAACAACACCTAAAAACATAACCAAGATCGGATGTTGGAACGTAAGAACAATGTTCCAGATTGGAAAAAACAGCGAACATTGTAAGAAAGTTTAACAGATATAAGTTAGACATATTGGGACGGAGCGAAGTGAGATGGACAGGCTTTGGTGAACTTAAGACAACCTCTGTAGAGACCATCTTGTACTCAGGAGCTGAAGAGCATCATAGAGGAGTAGGACTTATACTTAGCAGGAAAAGCCGAAAAAGCTCGATGGAATGGAACCCTGTTAATGACAGAATCATCAGCGCATGCTTTTTATCCAGCTTTGCTAAGCTAACAAGAATACAATTATACAGCCCAACAAACGAAGCAAACGAAGCGGATAAAGACACCTTCTATGAACAGCTTCAAAGAGAGATTGCAAAAATGCCAAAACATGATAGTACTGATGGTAATGGGTGATGCAAATGCAAAAGTGGGAAAGTCGAATGAAGGATGGGAAAGAGTCATGGGACAACAGGGCATTGGGATTATGAATGAAAACGGCATGAGGTTAGCATCATAGTCACCTAATGGATGAGATAGGTACCAAATGATCATGTAATGGTGAACGGCAGATACAAGAAGTCTGTATGTGATGGAAGAGTTATGCCTGGTGCAGATGCCAATTCAGATCACTATCTAGTACCGGCTAAAGTAAAGATGAAGCTCTGCAGAAACGTAAAGCCAAAGGAAAGCAACAGGAAGATGTATGATGTCATCAAGCTGAAAGATCAAAAAATAAGCAAAGGATTCCAACTTGAACTAAGGAATAGGTTTCAGCAACTGGTTGATGACGAAAACACAATGAATAAAAAATGGACTCTTGTAAAAGAAGTATATAATGAAACAGCAGAAAAGATCCTGGGCCAGAAGAAAAGGAAGCACAAAGACTGGCTAACAGCAGAAACTTACAGAGCCATAGATGAAAGGAGAAAACTAAAGGAAGAAACAGGAAGATCAAATTCGGAGAGAATTAAGGAAATTAAGAGAGAAGAATATAAGACCAAAGACAAAGAAGTGAAAAGTAGAGCAAGAGCTGATAAAAGGAAAAATCTGGAAGATGTAGCTAACCATGCAGAGAATGCAGCAAATACAAACCGTCTGAGTGAAGTTTACAAACTGATCAAGCGTTGTGGGAGAAAAAGAAGCAGGACAAGTGGCATAAGGTCTAAGAATGGTGAACTAATCATTGAGGATGGAAAAATATTGGAGAGATGGACAGAGCATTTTGCAGAGGTCCTTAATGTCCCAACAGAAACAACAGATTTACCCGAAGGACGTACCACCCAAGAGAATGAAATTGAAGAAATTGACACAACACCAATTATAGAGGAGGAGGTTAAAAAGGCAATTAAAAAAAAGAAGAGGGGAAAGAGTCCTGGCATAGATAACATCAATGCGGAGCTACTAAAGGAAAGCGTATCATATACAACATCAGAGCTAACAAATTTATTCAACAGAATCATCAGTGAGCAAGAAATACCAACAGACTGGAAGAGATCGCTCATTGTCAAAATACCTAAGAAAGGAGATCTGACAATATGTGACAACTATAGAGGAATATCACTACTGTCAGTGCCATCTAAAGTATTTTGCAGAATAGTGATTGACAGAATTAGAGATGGATTAGAGGACAGACTAAGACCAGAGCAAGCCGCATATAGAAAAGGAAGAAGAACATCAGAGCAGATTTACATTCTGAGAAATATTTTAGAACAGTCTATGGAGTGGCAAGCACCACTGTACATCAGTTTCATAGACTTTAAAAAAGCCTTTTACAGCATAATAAAAGAGAACCTGTGGGACATACTAAGGCACTATGGAATACCGGGTGTATATGTGGACATCATCAAGAAATTATACGATGGAGATTCTAGTTATGTCATAGAGAATGAAAGAACGACAGACTGGTTCAATGTACAGACAGGAGCGAGACACGATTGTGTTATGTCTGGGTTCCTGTTCATCATTGCGGAAGACTGGATCATGAGAAATACTAACAATAAGAAGAGAGACATACGTTGGAAATTTATGACAACATTAGAAGACCTGAATTATGCAGACGACCTTGCACTTATTTCCAGCAAACACAGCGACGTGCAGGAGAAAACCAGGAGATTACATGCTGTCGCGGAATATACAGGCCTAAAAATTAACGTCGATAAAACAAAAAGCATGAGGATAAATGTGAAGAAGAAGGATGCCATCAGGTTGAATGATAAAGAAATAGAAGAGGTCGAAACACTTCTCTACGTGTGTGACACAATGGACAAAACCGGAGGAACCGAGGCAGATATTGGGAGAAGGCTAGGATTAGCCATGACCGCCTTTGCATCCCTTGCCAAGGTATGGAAATCAGCACAATACAACACAAAGACCAAACTTAAGATTTTCAACACCAACGTTCTATCTATGTTGCTGTATTGTGCTGAGCTATGGAGAACAACAGAAAAAGACGAAAAGCTTGATACATTCCACCGAAAATGCCTTAGGAGGATCCTTAAAATACACTGGCCTGGAAAGATAACTAATCAACAACTATATGAAAGAAGAAAATCCATACCTCTATCAAGCACTATCAAAAGAAAAAGATGGAGATGGATAAGCCTTATCCTCCGAAGGGAAGATAACTCGCACGGTAGAACAGGCCTCACATGGGCCCCTGAGGGAAAGAGACGAAGAGGACGGCCAAAGAACACGTGGCGACGCTCTTTTGAGAGAGAAAGGGAAGAAATGGGCTGGAACAGTTGGTAAGTAGGGGCAAATTGTTGCCATTGAGCACCGTAAGTGGTGTTTGTTGTTGAACGGCCTCATGCGTCCTCCGGGGCACGGAGAGGATAAGTAAGTAAGTAATTAATCATGATAATAAGGGAAATCCTACTGGGTCTGAAAAAGAAAGAGAGGAAATTTGGCTCTGGTGTGATATTTCCCCTCGGGAGAAATCCTACTCTAAAGAACAATTTTCGACGAGGGGAAAGCTGGCTATGGGGGAAATTTTACCCTACAACACCGAGGCGAAGATTATTATAGACCCGGGCATAGGCACTGGTGTAGACTTTAGGATTCACCAAAGGGAAAATATCATAATAGAGTCAAATCCTATTTACTCTTTTTTATCGTTTTTTTTCATTGCTATAAATAGCAATAGACGATATTCATAGGCGCTTGGTGTTAAGATGGTGTATTTTAGGTACTAGTATGTAGGAACACACCCATTTATAAATAATCGTATTTTTTTTAAATCGATGGAAAAAAGGACTTCTAAAAGATGTAAATATCTGAACATAAGAAAAAACGACAAGCGAACATACTTGCGTATAAAATTTTTATACACAGCTTGCACATGGATTTTATGAAAAGTGTTCTAAAAATATTTAAAAAAAAAACAAAAACAAACATACAAACAAACAAACAAAAATATGTAGGACTGAATTCCAGGCACTCAAAGCTACCAAAATACCGGTATACATTTGTCTACAAATTGGAATTTTATTTCTGTATTGAATGATATACAAAATACTAAATGCAGAAAAAAATCTTCCTGTTCAAGTACTACATGTAATAAATGTATTTCCTCTTTTCAATGACATGTTTTTGAAATTATCCTCGTTTCTGCGGGACACGATTTCGACTACATTAGAACAATAGAATTTCGTCTATAGTTAAGAATTTCTGTAAGCATTTATATCCTTAAATTACTTTCACATCAAACTGACAAACTAACTCTTTTACCTAACCCTTAACAGTCAATTGACCTTGGATCATGATACATCCACTTTTTAAAACTATTTTTTCCCCAAATATGATGAGCTTCGAAAGCTATTTTCTATATCCATTCAAACTTTTTTTTAGTCATCAGTTTAGATGGAGCTTTGCCAGTTGTTAGAGATTGACACCAGAAACCATAAAGTAAGCATCCACAGGATGTCATGGAGTAACATCTCCTGTCGATCGTTCACATCTGCCATGTGATCCTTATCATGGAACTCTTTGGACAATTCATATTGGGAATAACGGCCAAACAACTTGTATGAAAAATGTCAGTTAACATTGGAGTAAATGACAGATTGTATTTGCTCACAATGTCATTGTATCGATCATAGAACTTGCGAAATATTGACCTTAAACAAGTCAGTTCTTATTTCATCAACTTATTTCTTTCTCAGTATCTTGCCACATTCTAGATATTGTTCAACCGTACACAGAGCATGATCGTGCGTATCGACTTAACTGGTATAAACTTCATATGCAGGTGATAATATATTGCTATTTACAATGTAAGACTCGAGCAAAGATGGCTTGATATATTAAATTGCATCTGTAATTATTCACTTAAAATTTTGAAGAAGTCTAGTTTGAGAAACATCTAGTCGTCGGCAAGTGTACCTAAGGTATGATGGTTTAGCAGATTTATAAAAACTTATTTTAGATTTAAAAATTGACATTAAATTTTATTGTAAAATCCTAATTTCAAGTGGAATTGAGCCCCTTTCGTGATCTATACAGTAGGCATAGTAGTATTATACTACAGATTTTTATTGCTAGAGTTCGAATCCCACGAATACCATCTTATATTTTTGTAAAAGAATAATTATTTTCGAGATTTTTTTCTCTCTCAGAAAAGGTTTGTTTCTCATAATTTAAATAATGAAAGAATTAAATATGAATACTCAATTCACCAATTGAATATGATTTCTTAATATCTGAACTTTAATTCTGAAGCTATAGGCATTCTGCACGCCTTGTTCCCCCATCTCCTTTGAAAATTTCTTGTAGAATATGTATGTATCTGCAAGTATGTCCATAAGTTATTCTGGCACTAAATTATTAAATGCATCATAAAAACATTGTTTTCAATTTAGCTTCTCATTTTCTACAAATTGTAGTAATTGGTTTTCATCTTCATTACAAAATTAAGTGAATCTTTATATAAGCTGTTGATGTTAAACTTTTTACAATGCTTGCAGCATAAACTTACAACTTGTATCTAGCATATCGTTTTCACTATTTTGACAGCATCAATTCCTATTACCACATAAGCATGATTACAACTCAATGACGTATACATAACTGAGAGAGTTTTTTCAATTCACTTACAATTTTAATTGTTACAAAATAGCCAATATTTATAGGCATTTCCCAGGAAATTTTAAATATCCAGTGACCAATTGCAACTAGTGTCACTTGAAAATTTTTGCTGCAAGATACATGTACTTGTGTTCAGAGCTAGTCTCATTGACATTGTTGAACAAAAAGCTTAGGGTATTGATCTAAAGTTGTAGAATTTAATAAAGTGTTTCTGCCAGTGACCATACCAAAATAACCTTGAGTTTGATAATTACACTTTAGTCATAAGGAATCCTTGTTTTATTAAACAATGGCTTTTAATTAGCCTCCATTTTAAACTTTATCTGCCAGTT